GATATGAAAAAAATATATTCCACGACTACTGCATATCACCGCGAATATCGCGTTTTTCACCGAGTTGTACGCCACTTCACGTAAAATGAAACTCCACCATATAATACTACTATAAAAATTTCCAAAATTAAAATAACACAATACCAGAAAATTTGAGAAACTCAAAACGTAACTAGCGTCACTATACCAAAAATTTCCCTCAAAAATTCAACTAAATATATTTCCCGACAACCTAAAAATCAATATTAGAGCAACATACGTTCGCTTCCCTAAACTAAGCTCAAGAGCTTCCTCACTGATTATAGAAATCTAGAGCAGATTTTCACATTGTCATCACCAACACATGAAGTTGACCATGTGCATAATTTTCCGAGAAAATATAAAATTTTCAGAAAATTTTTTCCCACCTAATTTTCCCCCTACTACCTGCTGACTCCAATATTCATAAGTTCACGAGTATTCACAAACGCCTTTGCCAACTTCGGCGCTTTAGGTGTCAACCCTAGCAAATCGTGTACCACCAGAACTTGTCCCGAAGTATCTACGACCATCAGCGTTGAGGAAATGCAAGATTGCAAGTTGCCCACCAGGACCAGAGCCAATGCCTATCGTAGGGATGTTAATAGCTTCTGTGATGAGCTTTCCAACTTCGCCAGGTACACACTCCAGTACCTGTCGCGAATATGTGATGGAATTATGGAGCTTCTTCACCCTACTGATATGAAAGACATATTTCACGACTACTGCATATCACCGCGAATATCGCGTTTTTCACCGAGTTTTACGACGCCACTTCACGTAAAACGGGTAGTTGTGAAACTCCATTAATACTACTACTACTACTACTACTACTACTACTACTACTACTACTACTACGTACTAGCATGACACATCCCGCGGCTTCCAACTGCTTAGCAAAGTCGATCAAGTGGCACGCTGCTGAGGCAGCCTTCCCCTGTATCTGATTAAAAATGCACCTTCCGGGATTCGAACCCGATACCTTCCCCTGCACAAAGCTGTTACCCTCCCATCTAAGCATAACTCAGCAGTATGCCAGAATATGCGTTCACGGAAATTCTGAGAAAATTTTTGGGAAATTCTTCGCAATTCCTATACACTTCCCGAAAAAAATCATCCCATAATTTCATATTATCACAAACGCACGTCGTCGAGCATGCGCGAATTTTCACACACTGACTCAGCGGCGTCAACACGACAACACTCATATTTCTGAATTTCGAAATTACTTACAAAACAATTTGTGAGAAAGTCAACTACATGTGTTGGTGATAATATTAAAATTTTATATACCCTAATCCGGAACGGCTCAAACATATAAGACCGCCCCTGCTTACTCGATACCCTCCCATCTGAACGTAACTCTGTGGAGTCAATCCAATATGCCCAACAACACCAATGCCAGCAGCCGTCATGCGCCGTATCAATTCCGTGGAAAACTCTGCTGAGCTCGATGGACACTAACATTAAATTTTTCACAAGTGAAAAACGAAAAAAACTAGTTACCTCCAACTTAACAATATCCGCTCCAGCTTCCTTGATAAACCTACCAACGATTGTGTAATTTATTCCGTATCCGTGAACGATTACCTAGCTCCATTTCTGACGCCATCTTCTACCGTTAGGAAGGATCCAAAGGGCATATCCCCGATTATCATCGGACGATTATGCACCAAACCGCGGCGAACAGCCTGGGTGTGTAAAACCTGAGAAAAAAGTTCCAACTTTTCCCCTATCGGAATAAATTACACTCACGTAATCGTCCAGAAACCTACACTGTGCCCCGGAGAAACTCATTTT